ATAATGCCTTCAATGAAAATCATTGATGAACTGAAGAATCACGTTAAAATGCCAGTTAATATTAAAGTGACTGAGTCCAGGGAATTCCCTGACATTTGAGCCCTAAGCTTTAGGAGTTTAGCATACTCCCCAACATTATCTACAGAAGGCAAAGCCAACACAGATCATCTCTGAATTAAAGAGAAATCAAAAGAAGAACACTTCTCAATAATCAAAACTCAACGTGGCGGAACTGAGAGGTCTGGAGTCCACTGACCGCCACGAGTGGGAACAGAATTCAATAAAGTAAACTGTATCCCGGCTCAGCTGAACTCTTCAGTCTTTCTCCTCTAGCCATCCAAGCCCTTGCCAGGAACTGGGGAAGAGCTGCTCAGGAGTTATGAGCATTGACAAGGTCTTCTGGTGGCTCACCTGGAACTCCAGCTTCAGAGGATCCAATGCCCCCTAATGGACTCCAGAGGCACCTACCACACTGTGGTGTAGAGACACGTATTCAAACAAAGCACTCATACAAACAACAATAAATAAATCTAAACATCCCACACACACCACACACACCACGCACACACCCTCTTGCCAGTCATCATGTCTTGTGGACCCTTTCTATTTATTGTCTTTCTTGAGACAGGGCATTTGTTGTGTTCACTCTGCAGGCCAGGCTGGCCTCAAACTTATGGCTGGGAGTTATGATTTGTATTTACATGTTTCTTATTAAGACTAGTAACATCCAGCTAACTACAAAGACAGTAAATGGAAGATAGGCCAGCTAAAAGCAGCCTGGTGGCCCACTCCTGTGATCCTAGCCTCAGACAAGTGGATCAAGAGTTCCTGACCAGCAGGCTCTGTCTGGAAGGAAAGCAGGAAGAAAGGCAGGAAGGGGAGGAAGAGAGACCAGCTATTATTACAACTAATAGTAAAGGTGCAGCTTCCTCAATCATCAAGAGTGAAAAAAGTCATCTTTTCATGCCAAATCATACAGTTTTATTTTTACCTTGGTTCACTAAAATAAAATAAATGGCAAATGGCTACTAGTACTTAGGAAAAAAAGCCTCATTTATTTTTGTTATATTTACTGGAATAATCTTGTCCTATATAGCATGCTAAACCAGATTTAGTTTCTTAGAAGAAATTACCATGTTTAACTACAAGTTTGCTACATGTTTACATGCCGATCATAAACTATGCATCACCTGTCTACAACACAGAAAGCAACCCATAAAATGCAGCCTTTAAACTCATCCATTCTTCTAAAAGCCCAATGACAAAATGAGCTGTGTTGTTCTGTACTCTTATCTCAGGAACCTAGCCACTATTTGGTGGCATGCAGTATATACCAACGAATAAATGGCTGTGAATGATCTAGAAGTAAAATTTTTTTTTTTTTTTTTTTTGGTTTTTTGAGACAGAGTTTCTCTGTATAGCCCGGGCTGTCCTGGAACTCACTCTGTAGACCAGGCTGGCCTCGAACTCAGAAATCCACCGGCCTCTGCCTTCCAAGCGCTGGGATTAAAGGCATGCGCCACCACTGCCGGGCTCTGGAAGTAATTTTTAATTCTCACTCTCAAGGCCTGGTGCCCAACCAAGTGTGCCCAGCAAGGGGCTGGAGAGACCCCTGCCCCAAAGGAAAGGCACTGCCGTTCCTGTTTGTATTTCCTTAAATTCGCCACAAAGATTTTCCCCTATGCCCCAAACCACACAATCAATGCTTTGCAACAATGTGGTCTTTAACGATTTTGCTTCCCTTTTCAGGTAGTGAATAAAGTTCCTTAAAACTTAGAGAACTTAGTTTAGTTCCCTTTAGATTTTTAAAAAGAAAGATATTTGTAAAACCATACCAATTCTCAAATTTCTAGACTCTCATTCATCTTTGACTCACAGTTGGTAATACTACAATTTGCCTCTTGTTTCTGTTACTGTTGTTCACTACATACTACAAATTAAAACAAAAATCATAAACTTAAGAGAAAAAAATAGGGGCTGGAGAGATGGCTCAGTGGTTAAGAGCATTGACTGCTTTTTCAGAGGTCCTGAATTCAATTCCCAGCAACCACATGGTGGCTCACAACCATCTTTAATGGGATCTGATGCCCTCTTCTGGTCTGTCTGAAGACAGCTACAGTGTATTCATATGCATAACTTAAATAAAAAAAAATCTTAAAAAAAAAAAAAAAAAGAAAAAGAAAAAAAGAAAGTTACAAACCAAAGTATATCATGTCCCATTCGGGAATTCCTTTTTTGAAGAGACCTCAAGTCCCTCCCGACTTAATACAATGTCACCAGCAGGACTAAGAGGCCAGGTCCCACACCAACTTTTTACACTGTTACCAGAGGAACTGCCTTCTCTCAAGACTTCAGTCTAAATCCCCCTCAATTATTTCCATTCAAATGGAGTTCACTATTCCCCAACATCAAACTATCTCAGGATGAAGGTGAAGAAAGGGAACATAAGCCTCAAAGTGGATTAAAGAAGAAATTCAAGAAGCCAGGTGTAGTGTTGCATGCCTTTAATCCCAGGACTCTGAGAGGCAGAGGCCAACCTGGTCTACACTGTGAATTCTAGGACAGCCCATCTCAAACAACAACAAACAACAAACAAACAAAAGATGTTTTTTCAGCCAGACCTAAAAAGCTACTAATTGAAAACACAATTTCAAATAACTTGAGAGAAGTAACACCTGTAAATCTAACCGGAGGTGACATTTGCTCAGTCACACAGAATTTCAGTTATCTTTTCCTCATCAATAGGCTATATCATAAATCTCTAAGGTAGAGACTCTGCCTCTCTGGAAAGTCAGGCAAGGAACTGAACAGTGGTTGTCTCTGAAAGACCAGAAAGCAGGGCTGAGGGCAGAAACAGGCAGCTTTCTGCTGCATACCTTCTTGATCCTTCTTTCAAGCAACCTGCTTTGTGTTGTGCACTGCTGCTGGGGATGGAATGCAGGGCCTCCTTCCCACAGGCCAGGCCAGGGCTGTCCCACAGGTTACATCATTGGGCCAGCACTACCTATGTTTAAGAAGCTGTTTGGTAGAAGTCTAATTGTGAGGTTGTGCTCAATTATATCACACAGAGAATAACAGCACTGGAGGAAGTGGTGTTGGCTTCACTATGGCACTTCACTGTGAGGCTGGCTCTTCTGTCAGGGCAGCAGTGTCCATAGGGAACCTTGCAAGTTCGCCCTCTTAGAAGCCCTGAGTTCTGTTGCTTCACTCTCTGAGCATACAAAAGGAAACAAAAGCCTGATACTGTACCAATTAGGAATGAAGAATGGAGGTACTTAAGGCACTAGTAAGTACTAGAGAAACAATGACTCTAACAAACCAGTCACAAATACAGGAGAGATGTAAATTATTAACATTTCCTTTAAAATGTAAACTGCCATTCTGAGAAGGGGGTGGGAGGAGAGGGAGAAGTCAAGGTTGGTACCATCTGCAACACAGCTCAAGCAGCCTGAACTAGCCAATGCAATGTGATCTGTCGATGGACACAATTGCACAATCTCAATTACCCAGAAGATTCTACCAAACAGGAAATTCACGATGTGACTTTAAGTAACACAGGACTCATACTTAAAGGTTAACACATCCAGAACCCTGGAATTTATTCCAAAACAAAACAAAAACCATTTCACAGACTCTTTCGGAAAACATGAACACATGTAAATCACTAAAACGCAGAAAGGGCTCATCTGTTTGAATATTTACTTTCAGACAGGGAGCTCTAAATTAATACTAAGCCTCAATAAAAAAATACTATATGAATCCTTGAAAGTTCCTTACGACATTTCCGGAGTGGAAGTTTTACGGTATAAATTTAATCTGAAACCTGCTCCCTGGGTCTTGCATGGTAGCAAAAGCCTTGATTTTCAGCGCTGGCAGACAAAATTTGTTGAGTTCCAGGCCAGGCTTTGGTCTAGCAGTGGGGTTCAGGCCAGACAGGGAGATCCATCGTGAGATTGTCTCAAACGAACTAAAATAAAAAAGCTGAAAAGCATCGTTCCCTATGTTCCAGGATCTCCAGAAAACCACCACGTCCCTCGGGTGCTTACACGCTGATAAAGCTCCCTGCACATCTTCTAAGGGATTAAAAAAAGAAAAGAAAAGCAGCCCCAGGAATTATTTCAATGAAAAACTATTTATGCCTCCGGCACTAGTCCTACCTTCGTGATCTCGAGGGGAGCCCAACGGATCAGAACCCCTCTGGCTCCGTATGGAAAACTGTTTTGTCAAACAATACCGAAATGAGCAGCGGTATGTGACTAAGCAAGCCGGGCGAGCTGGGGCGTCCTCGCAGGCGCTGCCACCCTCCCTCCCCGAAAAGGAAATACGCTTTCAACCGGATCGGAAACACACCACGCAAGCTGGCACCGCGCGCGGTCCCCGTGAATCAAAAGTCGGTATTTTAAAGCTCTTCGGGGTGCTGCTAATCCGAGTGCGAATCCCCAAAGAACGTTTCCTGAGCCGGGATTTGTTTTATCTCTTTTTTTTTTTTAATCGATGGAGGTTTGCAAAAATGAGGGAAGAAATAATAATTCCGGGTAAGGGAGCGCTTTTTCTTGCAAGTTTCGCTCAGGTGACCGCAGTCCCCGGGGTCAGGCTCGCCTCTACTCCTCCTCTCGCAGGAGCTCCGCCCAGCTCCTCGGCTAACCCCAAAGTGGCGGTACCCGGAGGCAGGGTCCTGCGACCCCAGCGCTGCAGAGGGACCCCGCCGGGAGGAGCAATCGCGGGAGCAGGGAGAGCGCAGGGTGGAGCACCATGCCACCGCGCCCACGGCTGATCGGATCCCGCACACGGGTCACCCCCTACCCGCGCGTGCAGGGCGAGGGGTGCACGACAGGTCCTGCTCCATCTCCCCCTCTGCACCCCAAAGACACGCCCGGAGGAGAATTCCTACCGCTGGGCGCATCGCTGAGCCGTAGGGACAGGCCTGGCCCTCGGGCATGCAAGGCCACCCTGTTAGATCCACCGAGTCCCCCCCAAACCCGAGGCCCGGCGACACTCACCACACCGAGCCATAGGCGCCCGAGCCCACCGGGGACAGGTTCTGGTATCGCTCGGGCACCTCCCAGATGGTCTTGTTCAGCTCCTGCCGGTAGAACGTGGGCCTCTCCTGCGACATCTTCCAAGCGGCGGCTGCGGGGCGTGGAGGTGGCCGAGCCCGGGGTGGGGGAGCCCCCTGCCTGCAGCCAGCCGCACGTTCTCCGCTCGCCCGAGGCAGACCGGACCCCGGCTCGCCCGCTCGCCCGCGCAAGTGCGGAGGCTGCGACCCAGCGGCGCGCGTTCGTCCTCCCCTCCCGTCAGCCGCGGCGAGCCTCGGTAACGTGCTGGGGAGCCGGCTGCACGGCTCGAGGCTGCTCCCGCCGCGGTCCCCCTGCAGCCGCTCCCCGGGCAGCGCACGCCGACGCCGCGCCGCACCACACCGGCTCGAGCTCCAGCGCCCGCTCGGGCTCCAGTGGCCGCGATCCCACAGGCAGCCGCCGGGAGCCTCTCGCACAACTCTCGCGAGAACAGCTCCCGGAGGCGTTTCCCCCCCCCCCACCCACCCTGGTTCCGCGAACCGAGATCTTACCCAATATGGAACCTGCCCACGGGGCGGGGGCGGGGGCTCGGGGGCGGGGCTCAGGGGGCGGTTCGCGAGAAGAGCGCGCGCAGGACGGAGAGGGTCTCGCGAGAAGAGAGACGCGGCTGGGGAGCCGAGGCAGGAACTCTCGGGGAAACTGCGCTGCCGGGGCCCCGAGGGTGGAGGGCCGCCGCGTGGGGCGCGCGCGCCCCCGTGTGGTCGGACCGGCGAATGCCCGGCGCCGTGGCGGAAAGAGGGGTGGGGGGAAGAGAGCCAAACGACCTTTGAACCCCGAGCCACCTGCTCGCTGCAGCCCGCAATTTCCAAGAAACACTTGCGAGGACAGACAGGCCCCGTCCAGCAAGCTGCTGCATTCCCATCTGCTCAAGGACATGTGGCTTACCCCGGGATGCTGATGAAACCTGGCCTCCCCCCCCCCCCCCGCCCAGGCAAATATCAACCCTGCCTCAAAGCCCAGGCTCTCCCTCCGGAGAGACGCTCCTAGCAGCTCCTAAATGTTCGCAGGCAGGAGAGCCTTACCCTGGAAGTTACAGGAGGAGAGTCCAGGGACCCACGGGGAATCTAAGGCAAAAGCTCGGAGGTAGACGTCGTGAATGTCCGCTTTCAGGCTGGGGGACCTGCGTTTGCAAGGCCCTGGGTTCAATACCCACTACTGGGAGGGAAGGTAAACACACACACACACACACACACACACAAAATGCAGGTAGGTCATGCCAATTCTGGAAGGTCTTCTTATATAGTTTATTTATTTACATGCACACAGCTTGTAATCCCAGCATTTGGAAAGACCAGGAGACCCTTCTCATATATTTTATTTATTTACTTACTTACTTATTTATTTAGATTCACACAGCCTGTAATCCCAGCGTTTGGAAAGACCAGGAGTACATAGCCTCTGCTATGTACTGAGTAGTTAAAGAGGCCAGCCTGAGCTATTATGAGACCCGTATCCGGAACGCCCCCAAACCCACCCAACTCAGGTTTGAGACCAACTCCTGACCTTTAGAGCCATCCAAAACGTAGAAATTTAAAGGAAAAATTGGGGAGAATGACTTAATCCATGCCCCTGGGAGTATGGGGCAGCAGGGCGAGGAGCTCTGACCACACCGCATTTAAGACAAGTCTGTCGAGCTGGCTTAGGCCCCGGTTCTAGTCTCTCCGGGAGAAATCCAACCCTGCGTGGAATCTTCCGTAGAAGCGGAGAAAGCTAATAACAGCGAGTGGGGAAAGTTAGACCGGTCAGAACCCACATCACCCCTGCCTACACCGAGCAGGAGAAAGGAACTCTGACTCTCGTGGCTGTTTCTAGAAGATCCTGCTATGCGGAGGGCAGCCCGGGGCCCTTCCCCTCGCCCCGGATGCCATCCTCGCCGTGCTCGCCCGTCACCCGCGCAGCCGGAACGCCGGCGGGTTCTGCGGCAACGGCTCGGGAACTGCCGGCCTCCGCGTCCGCAGCGCCGCCGCCAGCCAGGCTGGAGCCGAGTCTGTCCCCAGCGTCTGCGCTCCTGCCGGCCACCGGAAACCAGGTGAGCCTCGGTCGGGAGCCCACAGCCCGCTCGCGTCCCGGAGCACGGCTGCTGGGGTCACCTGCAGAGCCGGGAGGGTCCCAGGCGCTCTTTCAGGGATTTGCACAATGAATGGGTGAATGAATGAATGGCGGTGGTCCCTGGAATGAAGAAATGAATGAAAGAATGAACGAATGAAGGAATGGTGGTGGTCCCTGGAATGAAGGAATGAATGAAGGAATGAATGAAAGAATGAATGAATGGATGGCGGCGGTCCCTGGAATGAAGGAATGAATGGCGGTGGTCCCTGGAATGAATGAATGAATGAATGAATGGCGGTGGTCCCTGGAATGAATGAATGAATGAATGAATGAATGAATGAATGGCGGTGGTCCCTGGAATGAAGGAATGAGTGAATGAATGGCGGTGGTCCCTGGAATGAATGAATGAATGAATAAATGAATGGCGGTGGTCCCTGGAATGAAGGAATGAATGAATGAATGGCGGTGGTCCCAGGAACTTCTCTCTCCTTATAGAAAGGCTGCTTGAAACAGCAATGACAAGAGACAAAATGGGGTTTGCATACTGTGGACCCTTTGAAAACTGGCTCCTGTGTGGTCAACAGCTGAAGGAACTGCTCTGTTCTGTGGGCCACACTTCCACCCCATCTGTGTCCTTTCCTCATTGGGCCTCAGCTCAGGGCCCCTTTTGCTTCCAGACTTGACTGGTTTTGTTCATTTTGTTCTCTCTGCCTGAACCCCGCCCTCCCTGCCCTGTCCCCCTTCTCTGTCTTCTAGTCCTTCTTGATGGATCCTGCTTTGGGTCCTCCCATGACGTCTTCTCTGTTCAACCCAGTACTGAGTATCTATCTCTCCAACACTCCCCCTTGGTATTGCACGGTGTAACATTAAACGAAGGTGTTTATGCAGCTGGAGGGCTGTCACATTCAAGTGTCTCCTGCTACAGGATGGTGCTGTCTGCCGACACCTTTTTGGTATCCCCCATACAGTCTCCATCAAAACCGAGAGATTTTGGTTGGGAATTACAAGTGCTTTTGGGGTTTGTTTGTTTGTTTGTTTGTTTTAAAATTGGAAGTGAATTTTGTCTTACGGTTTTAGGAAACATGTGAAAGATGACGTATAAAATATATTCTTGTACCTTAACTAATTTCCAGGGTTTCCTTTTCATTGGGTCAAAATTTTATAAATCAGGTTACATTTATAAATCAGCCCTTGTGTGCTGCACCACATCAGGCTCACCGGCTCTGCCGTAGACAGGCTCTCACTGTGGCTGTCCTGGAACTCAAGGAGATCCGTCTGCCTCTGTCTCTGGAGCGCTGGGATTAAAGGTGTACACCACCACTACACCAGGCTCCTCCAGCTTCTTCTTCGCTTTCTCTTCCTTTTTTTTTTTTTTTTTGTTTGGTTTTTGGTTTTTCGAGACAGGGCTTCTCTGTGTAGCCCTGGCTGTCCTGGAACTCACTCTGTAGACCAGGCTGGCCTTGAACTCAGAAATCCACCTGCCTCTGCCTCCCAAGTGCTGGGATTAAAGGTGTGCGCCACCACTGCCCGGCTGCTCCTCCAGCTTCTTAAGACACACTTTTGTACCGCCCCAGAAATTCTGACTCAGGAAATGATTTTTATTTGGCTTGTGGTTTTGTTTGTTTTGAAGTAGGATCTCATACAGCCGGGGATGACCAACTTGCTTGGGATGGCTTGCTATGTAACAGGGGTTGGTCTTGAACTCCTGACCCTCCTGCCTCCGTGCCACCACACTCAGCTCCCTGAGTTTTTGTTTTTAAAGTTTGTTTCTTGTGTGTGTGTGGTCATAGATGTGGGCTACACTGCCAGGTACAGGTCCCAGGACAACTTGTGGTTTCTGTCCTTTCACCTCATGGGTCCCAAGGCGCAAATTCAGGTTGTTAGTCACCTTAACCTGCAGAGCCATCTCAGCAGCCCTCCTCTAGGGACACTTTTAAACCCTTTGTCCTCCTTCCCCTCCCTCCTTCTTCCCTCTCTCAGTTTAAAGTTGACATGACTCAGATATTTTAAATTATTTCCCTTAGATCATCTCTAAGTGTGTTGAATCCTGACCCTGAAATACCTAATCTCCCCAGGCCCCACTTGAACTCAGTCTCAATTCACCTTCTCGGGGAGTTCTCCATTCCCCAGGCTGGGATCCTCAGTGTCTGCCTAGGTCATGTGATTTTAAGACAGGAATCTATTTTACAGTCGAGGAGATAGGGCCTGCATTGTGGCCGTGCTGAATCACTGCGGTAGGCTGAGGAACTCCCTACACCTGTCAGAAAAGGCTGATGGTTATCAGGAAGATGGCTTCTCCCCAGCGCAAAGCCTGGAGGGGGTGGGGGGAGGTTAGGCTGCCGATAGTGGGTGGTCCTTCCTGCCCTTCCCCCCACACCAGGCTCTGCACTGGGAAGATGCTGCTATCTTCGGGCTGCATTCCTCAGAGGAGCTGGAAGACGACCTCACCCTGAACCTTTAGCACTGTGGAGGGAAATGGTCAGAGTGTTGACTTTTACCACTTAGTCATCCTGCAACAACATGGCCTCCCTGTGGAATGTAAAGGAAGCCAGTTGTACTGCCCTAAGGTTGCCCAAGTGCTAGGCCCAATACTAATCATTGTTTAAAACTTTTATTTATGTATGAATTTGTGTATTTTCACTGCATGTATGTCTGTGCAACATGTACATGCCTGGTGCGTGCAGAGGTCAGAGGAGAGCATCAGATCCTGTGAAACAGAAGTTACAGATGGCTGTGAGCGGCCATGTCAGTGCTAGGAGCCAAACCCTGGTCTTCTTGTTTGCACAAGCATCAACTGAGCCTGCTCTTGAGCCCCCTAATTGGAATTATTAATCAGACATGGTGGTAGTTACTTACCTGTAATCCAGCGTGGAGGCAGGAAGAACAGGAGGCCCATGTTATCCTCTGATACAATAGTGAGGTTCTGGCTGGCTTGTTTTAAAATGTAATTAAAAAACAAAAGGCCAGGTGTAGTGGCAAATGCCTTTACCCTAGCACTTGTGGGTTAGAGGCAAGTGGATCTCTGTGGTGTTCAAGGCCAGCCTACTCTACACAACAAATTCCAACACAGCCAGAGCTGCGTAGTAAGACCCCTTAAAAGACAAACATACACCCCTAGACACACACACACACACAAAGTAAAGAGTAAACACTGAAGTTGTCTGAACCTTGTTCAGTTGGGTTTGGGGTTTGCTTGTTCACTTGATTGTTCTGACAGGGTCTTGACCTTGTAGCCCAGGCTGATCTCAAACCTGTGATCCTTCTGCTTCTGTGTACTGGGATTACAGGCCAGGCGACCATACCTGTGTCCATGAGGAAAACGAGAATAACATGTCCCTTGACTCTGAGGTAGAACGGTTGTGAATTTAAAATTGTACAACACGGAGGAA